AGCGGCGATGCAACCCCCCGAGCCCGGGCAGGGCATTTTGCAGCCGCGCACCCCCCAGGGGTGCCGGGCAGGGCTCGGGCGCGGGGAGCGCATCACGCTGCGCGGTGGTTTTCATTAGGAGGGACCGTCTCTGCCCCATTTTTGATCTGCCCAACTCGCTGTAGGCGATCCTAGCGAAAGGTCAGAGCTGTTATCTGCGGGTGCCCAACTTCCACATTTTCAAAACGCAACTTTCAAGAGCTTGTATAAGCTGCTTTGGTGGGGGCAGGGTGTTCTTGCAAAGGGCACGTAGGAAAACATCACTGGCGAGATGTAGAAGATGAAAATGTCCCTCCGTGGGTCTCCCACTCGGGGAAAGGACCGGCTGTCATGTCCTGATCCAGCAGGCTGTGCTCTGCAGCTCTCCCACCCCTCCGGCACACGCCGGCATCCCGCTGGCGAGAGGCACAGTAACAGCATAAACCCAGCGTCCTTCCAGCCCCCTGCATGCTAATAACTGCAGCCACGCTTCTCTGGAATCACGATAAGAGAGGAGAGAAAAAAAATATTATAAAATCTCCATTTTCAGATAACGCTGAAAACATTGCACTCAGTAAACTTGAGTCATTTGTGGTTTGTTTCCTGTGAGATACTGGAAATGCCATCGCTTGAAGCCTGGAGTGAACGCATGGGAACTGTTTCTTCTGGGGATTAAATCAATTCATTCCGTGCCACATCTGATGCTTTATGTGTTACCTTTTCTCTCGCTTTATCTGTTGTTTTTTTAAGGAACAATAATCCAGGCCCCTCGGTATATCATGTCCAGGTTTCAACTACAAAGTTTTAGTCCTCTTTATTTATTTACTTACCTGCTGTTCTAGTGACTTAAGTGCTGGCTTAGAAATCCACGGACATCAAAAAGCTAATGCGTAAACCAGCAACTCTGTTCTGCATAAACATCCTCCAGGCTGTTCCGGAGTTCAGGGCTTTCAGAGAAACCTGGCTCCCGAGTCCCAAATATCCCGAAGATGAAGTATTTTGGGGTACATCTGAAGTTTCAGACAATGGATAACAAAGGATCATAACGTGCATTTCCTTCTATTGGAAGGCTCTCGGAGCTTGTCAGAGTGGAGCCCACGTGTTGCCAAGGGGAGTATGGGGCCCCAGAAAAATGAACTTGGAAAATTAGGAAAAAATTCTAATCAAATGCAGAGTTCCCCATGATTTTAATGAAAACTCACAGGGCAGGGAGCTGGCAGGAGAGGGATGTCATGATGCAATTTGCAGGGCACAGCAGTTTCGACTTAGAGGACTGAAAACCAGAACAGAATATAATCAGATAATATCTTTGGGCTCAGCTTGCCTAAATAAAAACTGCAGGATCAGTTTCTCAGCACAGAAGCTCTTGACTCGTGGTCGTTTCTCCCTGCTGAAGAAAGTAATTTTTGCCCAGAAAACCGCTGACCCAGTAAATAAGCTCTAGTAATACAATTTTTTTCCTGTTGCCTGCTGGAAGCAGGGAGCAGCCTGATCCTTCTGCAGCAGTGTGGGTCACCCTTGCCCCCACCAGCTTAAGGCAGGACTGACCAGCAACAGAAACAAAGCGTTGAGGGACTCTGGGCTAGAGCAAGAACCCAAAAACATCTGAAAAAAATTTGGGGCTCCATTCTACCAGATCTTGAGCACCTTAGTCATCATCCAACAAAGCATAAATGTGCAAATGCCTTCCTGGCCACTAGCCACAGGTTGAAAATTTAAGGGCTTAGAGGGTTGATCCAATAGTTAATTTCCTCTGGGTTTGGAGGGAGCCCTTGGTCACAGCACCAGGTTGCTGCAGACCTTGCAGAACTGAGCTCAGGTGCCTTTCTTTTATTTTTTTATTTTTTTTTTTAAGGCAGAACCTTGTATAAATTACATAAAAAGGCAAAGAAGAGAATTCCTTAAGAAAGTAGCTTTGATGAAAATTCTTGCTTTATCCCCTTGTATTACCAGAATCATCCTAGATTTCAAAGCTTTTTAAAAAGGGGAAAAAATAAGGTGCCTTGATAGCCAGTGCTAATAACACAATCAAGATCTGTGCCTCTTCCCACTTGGGAATATGTAAATCCCAAGCAATAGTTTGAGCTGTGTTGGCATAAACCCATCCCAGGGGATTCATGTCCTTAGCTGGAGGACAAAAAGAATTATCATGAGGTAAAATTCTGGCTCTATTAAAAACAGCAGCAAAACTTAAACCAGATGAGCAACAGTTTCATCTACTTGCATTTATCCATTTCATGCTGTTCAGAGAAATGACATCCCCAGACTTAGTCTTCAGATTTGCATTTCCCAACGGAAAGTTGTCTGCACGTTGCATCCCTCAGGTCACCCCTCTAGTCCTTTAGCCCGTGGTGAGACAGAAATTCCCTTTGCTCCCAGCAGCACTGCAGCCAGAGCTTGCAAGCTCAGCTTTCCAATACAGGCTCCTACATTTTGGGGCTCTTGCAGAGATGCTTTCTGGTACTGTTGGGGTTCTTCAGTAAGCTACAGGTGAATCCAGAGGCTGCCTGTCTTGATTTGCTGACTTACAGTCATTTATAAGTAAACCTTTAAAATCTTGTCAAGAAAAAAGAAAAAAAGGTGTTTTTTTAAATGGAAATAGAAGCATGTTGTGGATAAACCAGAATTAATTGAAAATGTGAAGAATATAGTAAGAACTTTGGGGGTTGTTGGCATTTATCAGCCTGCACTATGAAAAGGTGAATCCAGGCAGCTTTTTGATTGTACTTTTGAAAAAGTGTAATCTTTAATTATAGAAGAATCATGTTATGGGAAAGGCATTTCTGTTGTAGGAACAGCATGGATTGAGACACTTGACTGAGCAATTCATGTTCTGTCCAGGAGAGGAAAAATGATGAATCTACACAGACACCAATGTACTAGTAAAGAGTAGAAATGAATCCACATGAGTGATACAGCAATTGTCATGTTTATGCATTATTCTTTGAAGAAAAAAAAAATAGAACATTTTTTGATGCTGTTATTAATTAATAACTCCTTGTATTTTAGGCTGCTCTTTTTTGTTTTTTTAGGCTGCTCTTTTTTGTTTTTTTTAAAGCGAATTCTCTTCTCACAACTAACTAGTGCTAGAACAAGAGGGAATGGGCTCAAGCTGCTCCAGAGGAGGTTTAGACTGGACATGAGGAAGAACCTTTTCACTGAAAGGGTTGTCTGGTGTTGGAACAGGCTGCCCAGGGAGGTGGCTGAGTCCCCACCCCTGGGTGTGTTTAACAGCATTGTAGATGTGGTGCTTGGGGATATGGGTTAGAGAAGGATTTGGCAGAATATGGTAGAGTGGGGTTGATAGTTGGACTTGGTGGTCTTAAAGGTCTTTCCCAAGCAAAGTGATCCTATGATTCTGTGAACTGAGGGGTGAAATCTTGCTCCCTCTCATGGCAAAGGGGACGAACCATTTACTCCACTGGGAGAAACAACGAGGCTGTAATCCTCCTTCTCAATCCACCAGCTCGTGCTTTGTTTTGCTTGTCCTTCTCCTTCCCCTCCCGTGGGTGCTCTCTGAGCAGTTTCCTCCCCCAACGCTGCTTTCCTTCCCGCAGGGAGCCGGTGGATGAAGTGCTGCAGATCCCCCCCTCCCTGCTGACATGCGGCGGGTGCCAGCAGAACATCGGGGACCGCTACTTCCTGAAGGCCATCGACCAGTACTGGCACGAGGACTGCCTCAGCTGCGACCTCTGCGGCTGCAGGCTGGGCGAGGTGGGCAGGAGGCTCTACTACAAGCTGGGCAGAAAGCTCTGCAGGAGGGACTATCTCAGGTACACAACACTCCCCTTCTTTCCCTCTCTTCAGCTCTGCTTCGTCATGTAATGAGCGTGGCTAGGGAGCAAGGAGCCATAAAGAATTCATGTTACTCTTAAACACAAAGCCTGGTGGCACTCACACCATTTGCAAGCTCAGGTTTACCATATGGGCTGATATATTTTGGGGTTCATGCACAGATGCTGGATGGAACCGCTGAGGTTCTTCCATAAGTTATAGATAAATCCAGAGGTTGTCTGATCACTTAGAGTTGTTTATAGGTTAAATCTCGCTGGGGAAAAGCACCCTGTTTTTTAATGAAAATGAAAGCATTGCTACATCTTGTGGGCAAAAGAGAATTGTTTGAAAATGTGAAGGGTACAGTAAGAATTCCTAGGACTTTGGGGCTGTTGGCATCTGTCAGCCTGCACAGACACGGCCTGGTAGCTCCAGGGGAGCTGTGCAGTGTCAGCGTGGGGTTCTGGCAAGTAGCAATTGGGAAAAGGGGATGAATTTCAGCAAGCTCCCCCTGAGCTGACAATGAACCGCTTCTCCCTAAGGGTTTTAAGAAGTTCTGTGCTTCCCCAAGCATTGCCTTGGAGCTGAAAGGTCTATAAAACCAGGTGCCAAGATTGGTGACTGATGAAAGATCATTTCAGGCTCTCATTTAAGAACACGGTATCCAAGGTAACTGAATTAAATTCGTTTTCCTGGTGCAGTAATATCAGCTCTCTGAGAAATGCTGGGTTCCAGTGGCCAGCAGGGCTGCTCTGCCTGCTTGGTGCCTGGTCACTGCCTTTGGCACCTGATTGATCCCTGGCTTCTTCTGCATCACTGGTAAGGTTATCCAGGAGGTTTCAAGCAGAAGGATGCAATGTGCTGCGTGTGTACTGCAAAGCTACAGCCAGGACAGGAAAGTCGGATTGCACTAATTTGGATCCAGTGGATTTTTAGCATTCTTAAACCTGAATAAACAAGAATCTACCCATTTTGCTGAATCGAATCCTATAAATACACTTGTTACCAACATGCTCACAAACAGCTCCCTGCCCATCTTTTTTTGCCAAAATTTGTAAGTAGAAGGATTAAATTGAGATGAAGATACTTCACAAAAATTAATAACAGAGAATCTTCACATTTCTGATTACAACTAAAGTGTATTGATCTTTGCTGTGCTGGTTGTGTACCATTTCTTCTGAGGGATCCCTTGTGTCTCAGGAGGCCTTTGGAACAGGATAATGGTATTGGATGTTTTTTCAGCTACTTTACTGAAGGCTAATTTATCTGCCAATAAAAACTAACCCAAAATCTCAGTGGAGTTCCTAATTATGGTGTCCCTGAGCTTTACTGATGGGAATTCTGCTAAGCAGAAACTGAGTTCTGCTAATGGGACCACGTGTAAATACTCTGTGCACACCACTCCAGCAGTGATCCAGTGTTAATTACACCTTCCAAACTTAAAGCAGAAACAACAGAAAATGTGGCAATACAATTAATGTACTTTCTTGCAGCGAAAGCCAATGCTTTTATTTATTTAATAATGCAACATATAATATCTTCCCTCATTAATGAATAATTTGGCAACCTTTGTGTAACCTTAGCATTACTTTTCGTTGGGCAGAAGTGAACACTGACATCTCCTGGTAGATGAAAGAATTGGTGTCTTCTCCTCTTAAAGATCATTTCATGGGCATCCTTTTTCCAGATCAGATGATGCTAAGCAGGCACAGCACATGGAAGAGAAGTGTAGGAGGTGGAAAAACTCTTTCCAGAACCAGTAGGGGAACTTAGAAGTCAAACACAATAGGGGTATGCTTTGAACAAGTAATATGTAGCATCTCTCCCCCGTTCTAAGAAAATAACATATTCCTGCTTATTTAATCAGTGGAAAGAGAATTTCTCTTGATCATAGAAGTGGAAGTGTTAGCATGATACAACTTTGTGCTGTGATCTGGGCAGCCTTTACCCCTCGTGAAGCTGCTCAGCAATTCAGGATATGGTCATTGATCAGAGAAGTCAATTATATTGAAAATAGGTGAGGAGCTTGGACTTTCTGCTTCGATTTTTGATATTGCAAAGTTTAGGGTTCTGCTTTCCTCTGACGTGGCAATACTGTGAGTAATGGATCGAGGGGCTGATGATGTGTTCTAGGTTTGGTTTGGTTTGTCCTGTCTCTCCAGCAAAGGAGCTCTGCTTACTCCTCTGCTGTTGTTGTTGTAGGCTCTTTGGTCAAGACGGCCTCTGCGCCTCCTGCGAGAAGCGAATCCGGGCGTACGAGATGACCATGCGGGTGAAGGACAAAGTGTATCACCTGGAATGCTTCAAATGTGCTGCCTGCCAGAAACATTTCTGTGTTGGGGACAGATACCTGCTCATCAACTCAGACATAGTATGTGAACAGGACATCTACGAGTGGACTAAGATAAATGGAATGATCTAGCAGAGCCGTGCCTCCGTGGTCCATCGGAGACACCTGGCGGGCGACACGGAGTGAGCTGCAGGGAGGAGATCACCCCTCGAGCTCTGGGCTTGGTCTGAAACAGGGGGAAAACACCCCGGAGTCAGCCCTTTGCAGGCAGTGCCACGTAGAATCTAAACTACACATAGGTGGAGAAGGGAGACTGGAGCAATAGTAGATAGACTGACTTCTGTTCTCAAAGGCGTGCGGACAGTAACTGACAGCGGCCACGTCGGGCAGAGCTGGGGCACAGACACCACCCCAAACCCTCAGAACTGCAGAGAGCAGGGACTCCTGTAAAGAGATGTTACTTGTGACCTCGTCACCTGCAGACTAGGATCCTGCCATTGAACTTTCTGTCTTGTTTTAGTTACTGAGTTTAGACGACAGCTCCTAATTAGCCATGAGGAAGGACACTGGAAGAAAAGGGCCACCACCTGTGTGGCCTCTCTATACAGCCTTACACTTTGGGTAGGAGAGGAAAAGGGAAGAGGGTGGGGGTTGTTTTTGCATGGACCCTCGTCACCTGCAGACTAGGATCCTGCCATTGAACTTTCTGTCTTGTTTTAGTTACTGAGTTTAGACGACAGCTCCTAATTAGCCATGAGGAAGGACACTGGAAGAAAAGGGCCACCACCTGTGTGGCCTCTCTATACAGCCTTACACTTTGGGTAGGAGAGGAAAAGGGAAGAGGGTGGGGGTTGTTTTTGCATGGACTTTTTTTTTTTTTTTAATTTGAGAATGAACAGTGCATCCTCTAGTCCCAAACTCT